TTCGCCGTCCTGCGGTCACCGGCGCGCGTCGCTGCTCCCTTGGGCCGCGCGCCGCCTCCACGCCCTCCTCCTCCTGCCCGGGCCGGGCGCCTGGCACCGGGGACCGTTGCCTGACGCGAGGCCCAGCTCCACTTTTCGCCCCGCGTCTCCTCCTCCTCTTCCACCAACTCCGACTCCTTCGCTCTCACTCCCACTCAGGAGCCCCTGCTCCGCGCCCCTCGGGCCGCTCCGCTCCGCTCCGCACCCGCAGCGCCGCTTCCTGTCCTGTCTCATCCCGTCCCAAAGGTGGGAGCGCGTCCGCCCGGGCCCGCACTATGGCACGGTTCGGCTTGCCCGCTCTTCTTTGCACCCTGGCCGTGCTTAGCGTGGCGCTGCTGGCTGCCGAGCTCAAGTCGAAAAGTTGCTCGGAAGTGCGACGTCTCTACGTGGCCAAAGGCTTCAACAAGAACGATGCCCCGCTGCACGAGATCAACGGTAGGTAGGAACCCCCGGGAGGCGGGCCGCAGAGACGGGAACCCGCGGAAAGGGGCCGCGGACTCTCTCCCTCGCTGCGGCCCCAGGTAGCTGAGAGGGAGCAACGGGCGGAGAGAACGCGAGGGCGAAGTAGCCCTGGGGCTCCCGGGCACTGCGAGTGGAGGGGCGCCGCCACTTTGCCCAGTACCACTCCCGCGCTCTGCCCCCCCTCACTCCCCCGCGGTCTTCGCGGTCCTGGGAAGCCACGGAGGACTCCGGCCCTGAAAGTGTGTGTCACCTGCTCCCTGGCTTTTTCCGGGTTGAATTCCTGACTGGGCTCCCCGCTTTGTTTTGTGGGTGACGAGAGGTGGGGGTGGGGTGGGGGAAACCTGGAGCTTGCAGATTCCCGGGGAAGCACAACGTGGAACTTGATGTTTCATTGATGTTCTTTAAGAACCCTTTTCTCTTCCTCTTCCACCGCTGACACGGATTAGGAGTTTTAGTAGCTGCAGTGGCTTTAGAAGTCGTCTCTAAAAAGTAAAGGACTCCCTCCACTCCCCACCCCTCCAAACCCTGACTTTTGGGAACTCTTGCTTTCCGGAAGGTGTTGGACAAGAAGGGTATCCCCCCCCCACTTCTTCTCACCTCATTTTGAGGGTTAATTGCACTTTCAATTACAGACCTTTGAAAGGACTGATTACAGGAAACCTGAATCTTAGTTTGGAGATGGTTATGCAAATGAAGACGGCTTAGCCTCTGAAAAAGTTCACCGGATTTCAGCGCTGGGGGTGCCTGGGGTATTTGTGCAATGCCTTCTCCGCGCGCAGGAGAGGCGGAGAGCGTGCCGCCCCTCGACGCGAGACCAGCGGTTATGGCCCGGCGGGTCCTCTCCGGGTCGCACTGGCCAGCTCGCGGCGGCCAACTGTTGCGTGCTGCACGGCGGGCTGCGCTGGGGCCCGCGGCCGCGCAGGTAGCCTGCTCGCCCTGGGGGCTCAGAAAGCGCCTCGAATCTAGCTGGCTGGAGGCCAGCATAACCTAACGGAGGAGTGAGGAAGTCGAGCCTCCATTCCGAACCTTTCATGGAAGTGAGGCTTTGCCTCGCCATGCTGGTCGCCCGGGTGGGGCAGGCTGGGGGGCCGGCAGCCAGCAAAGGAAATACTGTAATTTTAACCAGGCGCTTCCAAAGGCTTAGGAAGACTTGGGGGTCATTTCTTTGGAAGCGCTATTAATAACCTTGGAGATTAAGTGCAGTCATCAATTACATATAAATTACAAAGGTAATTGGGGGAAGTTGTCCGCACTGTCGGCACTGTCGGAGGAGTGTAACCAGCATCTGTCTAGAAATAGAACCTAAGAAATTGTTGGAGTAGCCCAGGCGCCCACTGCACCTTGGCAGTTATCAAATAACTCGCATACTACTGATTAAAGACTGTTTGCCCTTCAGCTGCCTGGCGTTTTGGAAACTCAAGTATGTCCTCACAGCGTCACGATTTTATTGGTTGTAGAGCCCTGAAAAGCCGTCTTTCTTTCCTCTCTTCCTCCCTCCCTGCCAGAAAAAGTGAGCCAGGCAGCAGTGGAACCAGCAGTCCCTGAAAGCTTGAGGGCTCCACAGGTCAGGTCCTTGTTGCCCTTCCGTTTGGGCCTGGGTGCAGTGGTGGTGATTGGCATGAAGGTTACACTTGTCATTCTCATGTTTTGAAGGGATGGATGCAGCTGTACTCTTAGGGGAAAGTGACAAGTTTTCTTCTTCTCATGCAAAACAGTATGTGCCTTTTGAGTTGGACTGGAGGCACTCAGGGAGTCGGCTGTGAAATTGCCCTTCCCACTCCCCCCAGTCTGTCCAACTTTGTTCTGTGCAGTCTGTAGAAATCGCAGGGCATTTCCCTCAGCAAGCCTCTCAGGGACCAGGAAGCTGCTTAGGGACTCCATGTGCTAGGTGTTCCCTTCCATTGTCACTATCCCTGGAAAACACCTGAGGGGTATTTTTTTCTTAAATGTCTATCTGGACCCCACCAAAAAGATAGGGGAGTTATTAGTGACCAGCAGCAGGAAATGGAAGCTAATGTGCTCACACCCAAAACATTTTATTCTTTTTGTCTTGTCCTTCATCTCCCTCCCAGGGCTGCTGCTTTTATTTCCCCTTTTGAATGACCTACTGGACTGCATTCTCCTGAGGAACAAAGGAAGTGCCTTTTTAGCTGGAATCCTTGGAAGACCACCAAGGACTTTAGCTCATGCAGTGCAATTTCGCACCACTTTCAACAATAACAAAAATGCATGACTGAATGGCTCAAAAATGTGGAGTGTTAGAGGCATTCATTTGAGTCTAGGACACTGTCACAACACAGACAGACCCAAGTAAATACCTTTAGACGGCCAGTATAGAAACAGGGGTAATCTTTACCATCACTCTGGCCCCTCCGGATGCATACATTAACCTCATCTTCTCTGGACTACACTCAGATAATTTTGGTTATTTGGGGAGGGATACTCAGTTACAGTGACTTGTGTCCAGCCTGTGTCTTAATGAATTAATTGCCAGGCACTTTTCCTAAGGTGGGGAACTTATGCTTTTTCAATACAAAACATTTAGGAATTTTATTTTCTAGTTAGGGGAGCAGTGTATAGGTGCCTAGTTCGTTGGCCCTAGGCTTAATCCAAGTTTAAGGTTTTATTTTTGATGGCCTTGCACTTGCCTTCTAAAGGTTTGGCCAAACTTAGAGAATAGTCCATGTTCTGAAGGAGTCTTAGATCATAATTAGGGTAATCTGATGTGCTCTGAAGTGTGTCAGGGAATACTTTGTGCTGACAGGTCTTCTACCTGAGGTCCTTCTACTTGAGGTCCTACATTACCTATTGGCTTGACTTCTGTACTTTTCAAATAATGAGTCCATGTGCCATGATCAAAAGGGATTTTACTACAAAGGGTAGTCCCCCCACCCTGCTCTCAACAGTCATATCTTTTTGGAGTGCCTGGTAGGTGCAGTATTCTGTGCTTAGCATCGTGAAAGCAGCAGGAGGGGCCTCTGCCACCAAGACTTTTCTGGTAGTAGGGAGATAAGCCATGTGCACACATAATTGGAATATATCAAGGTGTGGTAAGTACCATATGAGTGACACAGATGAAAGTAGGGGCTGCGGGTGTAGCTCAGTGGTAAAGCTTGCACTTAGTGTGTGTGAGGCCCTGGGTTTAATCCCCTCACACACAGCCTGTGAGAGGAGATTTGGAACTAAAGTACTAAGTTAAAAAAATACTAATGATAACTGCAAAAGTCTAATTATTTTCATTTTGCTTCTCTTCATAGGGACAGAAATAATGTGCAACAATTGCCATTTTATTACTAATCTTATTTTTTGTTGTTACTGGGAATCGAACTCACGACCTCAAACTTCCCAGGCAGGTGCTGTGCTGCTGAGCTATACTACCAGCCCTGAAATTATTTTTTAAGAGTGAGGTACTTGGTTAGAAATTTTTGAGCTTGCCAAAAGTCCCTTACACAGTGACATTGAGTGATAGTAAGGAGGGCTGTGTATCATAGTTGTGATTTTAGAGTTTTTGTTTTCTGTCCCCATTTATGTTTATGAGCAGTGCACCTGTGGCATGTGCTCACCTGCACGCGCACACACAGACACACACACACACACACACATCAAATATACCCCAAAAGATTCTGGGACTCACTTATCCTTCTCCATTGCATGGAGAAAGTGTGTATGTATTTTGGGGAGGTAATAGTACTTCTGATTGAGTTGATGTGTGTAAAATGCGCCGCATGTGTCTTTAGGTTTGTATTTCCCTTTGCTCACTTTAAGTAGCTAGCTTGGATTTTGCCATAAGCTTGTGATTTCCTATGCCATTGGAACCAGTTGGACTCTGTTTCACTTGAGTGGGTCTCATTGAGCTACAAAGCCTGTCATGTTAGAAACTGTCCAAGTGTTAGAGGAGCTGACTCCTGGACATGCTTAAAAAAGAGCTTAGTAAAAGTTCTGGCTTATGCAGCTCAATCTCTAGTTAGAACATACAAATATAAAATGTTTGATTCAGCATAATTGCTATTTTCCTTTTTTATTTGATTCACATTGGGTTGCATGCAATTTCAGGATTAGCTGGAGACTAGACTGAGGAATGAAAAAGGAAGTTTTTTGTCATCTGTATAAGGGAAACAACATCAGTGTTAATTTGAGCCAGTTGGAAGTGAGTCTGTTTGGCTCCCCAGTAGTATTAAATGTTTTAGCATTGAGGTTTGTTCCGGTATATTTTTACCAAAAATGCATTTTGGCCTTGTGAGAAGAGCTAGTAAGCTATTTAGAGTGCTTTCTCTGGCCCTGGCCTCATATTAAGGACTTTACATGGCTGTCGTCATTTAGAGACCACAACTGTCATATGAAGTCAGAATTGTCATCCTTATCTCCATTTCACAAGTGAGGAAACTGAGATTTAAAGGGATTAAAAAATATGTTCCTAGTTTTACAGTTAGTGACTGGGAGGGGTGGGATTGAAACCCACATCTTATTTGATGCAGAGTATAATCTGTGCTGTGTAGTACGGGTGGTAGAACAGGAAAATACCTTCTCTACTCCCATAGGGGCTTTAGAGTGGTCAGTTAGGGAATGACCTTCAACTGACTACCATAGTTAAGCACTATTCTCTACTACTACTGTAGTAGAAAGGATCCAGACACATCTTCAGGTGCAGTGTGAAACCTAGACACAGACAAATAGTGTTAATAGTAGAAAGAACTGAAATTGTATTTCCTGTTGCCACAGGGAGCCAGGGAGGGTTTCTGAGGAGGAGGAATTTCATCAGTCAAGTTGCTTTAGGAAGATAACTAATGGCATTTGGGGTTAAGGGTTGGCGAGGCAAGAGATAAAGGTGGAGAGATCTATTAGGAGGCTGTTTTAAATTGTTCTTAGCTCGTCTACCTGCCTGTTGTCTGTTGCCTTCTCGTTCCATTGAATGGTGCCAGATTAGTTTCTTTACCTTGATACTTTGGTCTTTAGTGGCTTTAAGAATCTGAAAT